AAAAAACGCTGATTTCGAGCCCTACAAGTACCGAAAATACTAAATAGGTTGCCATGGAAGGAATTAATGGACGAATAACGAAAAAAATCGCAAATATAAGTAAAAAAAGACTTATTTTCTTGCCATAAAAGAGACTTAAATATGAAATAAAATGTACTAACCTCGAAGTTTCGGATATGGGAAGCGATTTGGAGCACGATATTGACTAGTAGAGAGTGAAACAGAGGAAATTGAGGGAGTGTAAATCGAATGGGCGAAAACGAAAACAAAAACGGAAGAACAGAAAAGAAGATGGAATGAGAGATACGAACAGTTTGAATTTGAACTGAGGGGTATAATGGTCATTAAATTAACGGTCGTGGTACTCTTTTTCATGGCCGTGATCAAGCAAACAATTTAACCACGGTCCAACCTAGCCCATTAGTTGCCTTTCATTAACACCACGGCCGGAGTCCTATAGTTCACGGCCGTGGTGAAGCAAAAAATTCGTGTTACTTTTCTACTAACCAAGGTCAAACTAACAATAACCACGGTCAAAACCACGGTCGAACCTGTCCATTAATTTCCTTCCCTGTTAATTCGTTTGCGACTTCACCTGCATTTCAGATTGAGGCTAAAATAGTAATTTAATCCTTCAATATTCTATTCAAAATATTAAATTGGGTCAGTTGAGTCAAATTTTTTAATTGAGGTCAGTTGAGCAAAGAACAAACTTTTTTAGGTTATCCATGCCAATTTCTCTGGAAAATTAGTTCTACTTGAATGTCATTTTTCAAAATCACTAATTCTACCATCACTCCCGAGTGACAATTTAGTCTACGAACTTTAATTTGTAATAATTTAATCCAAGTACTTCCACATTAGTAATAATTGAGCCTCTAAACTTTAATATGTAATAATTTAGTCTATAGTTTAATGTTTGAACGATTTAGTCTTTATCCTAAAAATATGATTGAGATTCAATAGGATTTCTTATATATAGGTTGATAAACTGATGATGAACCAAACGTATTTGTAAATTATAAATACTAAATTGTTATCTAATAAGAATCCGAACTTATAAAAATTTTCACCATAGATATTAAATTGGTACTTATACGCAAGCTTTCCAATGTCGATGTTGATGAAAATGTTTGAAGTCTCAATTTCATTGAAATATCAATGAAAATATCAATGAAATGTCGATGTCAGATCAATATTTATGGTAAGTTATAAGAATAAAAAATTATAGCTTGACTATTTATTAAAATTAATATTATTTCTATAATTTTTTTGAGAAAACATTATTTTTATATTAATAAATTTTTGTTGATATTTTTTATATTTTGTCGAATTTTTTTCGTAATATTATGAAAATATCACTTTAATCCTAATGTCAGATATCGAACTCACGAATATACTACATGTCAATAAATATTAAAAACCACGTGAGACTAAATTATTACCAAATTTGAAAGGTTGCAATCTTTTTTAACCATTTTGTTATTACATTTTTGGTGTTGGCGGGAGGCCATAGTCATCTGGTTCCTTGCGGACCCTAATTTCCATTGTTCTTAGTTCCAAGTTTTACAAGGATTCCATTCTGAGCTTTCTTTGAGCGGATTTCCTGAACAATCTTCTGCTTTTTCTTTCTCTCCATAGCTTCAGCTCAACAATTTTCCCTTCAATTTCGCCTCCCTTATGCAAAGCTCCTTCAACCCACTCTCAAATTCCCTTCAATTTCCCCGCCCATGGACTCTCAGGCCCAGATTCTGCTCCACTCCTCCAACTCTTGCCACCTCTTTCAGAACTTGCTACAGAGCCGACGAGGGCATCGATGATGGACCCGGGCCCAGCGCCCCCCTTCGTTTGCCCCTCCTGCTCCGGAGGTCCGGTAGGGTTTCTCAGTACGTGTGGGATGGGTCTTGCCTACAGTTGGTCGGTGTTGATGGTGCCGCCTCCTCTGATTCTTCTGATTTCGATGATGGGTTTCGAACTTTGTGCACAGCCTGTGGTTTGGCTGTTAAAGATTTTTTCATTCCGAAGAATGTCAGTGAGCATTATGTATGTTATGTAAAATGGAAGCTGTTGCATCGGGTTTTCAGTTCTGCGCTCCAGGTTATTGCTACTCAGGTGAATGGAAGTTGAAACTTCAGTTTATTTCTAAATTTCCTAGTTGTGACTTGTGATAGACTGTCTTTATGTGATGTTTAATCGTTCTCTGTTTAGTTTGTTTGTTATAGTTTGTTTATATTGGTTTGTTACTGTGTCATGGTTTGATGATAAAACATTCTATTCAGATTATGAGGAMAATTATTATTGATAGGCAATGTTTCGGGCTATAGGAGTTGGCCACACGCGTTCGCTAGCATCTGCAGCAGCCCTTAATTGGGTCTTGAAGGATGGACTTGGACGGTTAAGCCGGTGCATTTACACTGCTAGCATAGCATCTGCATTTGATACGAATTTGAAGGTTTGCTTCTGTACGTTAGTTTCTTCTGAGCAAGGAATTTTGTTTCAAGGTCTCCCTTGCAAGTGCAGTATATTGTGTCACTACTCGTATATCTCTTTGTTTAATGAAAAACCCATTTTATGTTTCTCATTTCAAGAGAGTCAGGTTCTTGACCGCTGTTCTGTTCAGTTTAAGCATTGCAGTTGAGTTGCTGACACCGGCGTTTCCTCAGTACTTCTTGCTTCTTGCATCAATTGCGAACATTGTGAAGCAAATAAGTCTTGGATGCTACTTATCAACTGCTGTAAGGATTCACAATCTAGTCCACTTTTTCTGCATTATATATTTGAGATACTTTTATAGAAAAATGGACTGATTCCATATGAGAATAGCCAACTATAAAATTTCTTTACCTGTTGGGGGAGGGTGTTTGTTGATTTACTCTACGTTGTTCTTTTGTTGAGAAATGTTACTCCATGTCGTTGATCACTTAATTATGTTGCTTTGCAATTTGTATTTTGAAGAAAATGTGGTTGCTTTTTCCATACTAATGTATTAGAACCTTTGCCGCAGGGACATATCAGACAATAGATGATACTCTTATGCTACTCACTCTGCAGTATTTACAAAAGTTATGGCTACTCTAGTCATTGCCTTGTTTTGAACTTTTATTCTAGCACTGATTTAGTGTTGCATATGGTCTTCAATTCGAACAAAATCCACATCTAACTACAGTATTTTGACTTAAATTTGTTCAAGTTTGTACAATCTATTACATGACCATATGAATCTTCTGGTTCCTTTAATTTGAATTCTTCTATTCAGTACTGACTTGACTGGAAATATGAATTCTTCTATAAATACGTCTTTGTGGTGTCTTAATCATAGGAAATTTTTTTGTAACTACCACCAGCCTTCATCAATTTGGATTGAGTAGCTGTATTGTATTGTTCTAGTTCTTTTGGGGGGGATTTCTCGTCCCCTGCCTTTGGCTTGTTCCCTGTTTTCTGAGCAACATACTCTGTTTCTTATTGAAAAAAAATAGAAATATCTTGAAGTCTTTAGGATTTAGGATTTAGGATTTTGGCCGTGTCATCTTATAACTCTCACTTTATGTAATCAGTCTGCAGTTCATAGAAGTTTTGCAGTGGCAGATAACCTTGGTGAAGTTTCTGCTAAGGCACAGGTTGGCTATAATCCTTCCTGAAATTCTGATTACATTATGTTGGTGAAGTTGTATTCACTCAGCTATCCGTTGTATACAGATTCAATCAGTGTGCTTTGATAATCTCGGTCTTGTACTTGCCGCACTTCTGAACTTCTTGTCCAAAAATGATCAAAGGTTTTTTTTCCTCTTTGTGTTTTAGATTTCCGTTAGTTCATAAATGAGTTGTAAATACACAGAGATCAGTTCATGTCTGTTTTATCATTATTTAACCACTATTTGATGTGTGAGTTTTCTTAATTTTGGAATTTATCATTCCAAGGTTTTCTAACTCGTCATTCTTGTGCTAGATTGCAATCAGCTTTACCTTTTGTGGTTTACCCCATTTTTGCTGCAATGGATCTTTTTGGAACATATCAGGGGCTTAAACATGTCCATTTGCAAACTCTAACGAAGGTTGGTTTTCCATTATTCAACTTTCCAAAATTTTTGAAGGCTTAGTTGAGTCTTTAAATTTGCTCCTTGTACTCTGCTTACTGGATGAAACAAAATAGTATTTTATCTGATTTTGGCAAAATTGCATTATTGACTTTTTTTAATTCTGCATTCAAACTTCAACCTTTTGCTTGGCCTTCTCACAAGTTCTTATAATCATCACATTTCAAACTCGATAGTCTTTCTAGTCATTTTAACCTTCCCTTCGAGGATAAGTAGTTATTCATGATGAATGTTTTGGATTACTTTTGAGAGCAAAGTTGTCAAAGAAATTACATTTTCCATCAACATTTATGGAAGAAGCAAGAAGCATGAGTTAACTTCGTACTTTTAGAGGTTTCTAAAATCATTTTTAACCATGCAACCAGTTATCTCCCTCATAAAAATTAAAAAGAAAAAAAGAAATCACGTAACCAAATACCATAGAAACTTTTCACCGGTTCGACAACTCACAATTTTGCTTCTCATCTGTTGACTTTTATAAGTTCAGGATAGACTCGAGATAATATTAAGTACTTGGATCGAGCGAGGATACGTGCCCACGCCTGCAGAAGTAAGTGAGATGGAAGGAATTGATTTACTATGCAGAAAGGGTGAGGTCTTTATCTCTGTAATAATTCATTATGCATACAAGTTTATAGAATTATAGATTCATGAAGTGCAGTTGAGTAATATAAATTGAATATTCAGGTAAGGTTTCATGGCCAATCAGAATAGGTTGCTTGAATCTGGAGTCTCAAGTACCAAAATTGTCAATGCTGGCAATGCGTTGTGTGTCTAACAAGGACTACTATTTTATATGCATGGATGTCTTCTGCAGAGGTTTAACAACAAATAGAGTGAGTATATATCTTCTTAGATTTACCTTTAAGAGCATTTCACCTTTATCTTATATTTTCACTTCTCCCGCTTGAAATTCTAGCACGGTATCCTTCTCTGTCTCCGGGAAGGGGCTCGCGCAGCAGACATCATCACGGGTTTATTGCAGGTATTTGAAAATTGGTCTAAATAATCATTTTAGTTGCTTGGTCTCAAGTTTGGTGTCTATTGTTTCAAAAGTTTCAATTTGGTCCCTATAATTTGGTTAAATCTTTCAAAACATATCCAGATTTATCGAAACACCTCTAGATTTACCAAATGTTGATAGTTTCTTATGTAACATGTTGGTTTATACTGCTGACTCATTGTCTCTTTGATGCCATGTCCAATTGAAAACATGCTCTTTTTGTTCAATAAAAACATGTCACATAAGATAACTATCATCTTTTGGTGATGCCAAGAATGTTGGGAAAGATCTAACAAAACTATAAGGACCAAAATATTTGAAATTATAGAGACTAAATTGAAACTAGACCTGAACTATAGTGTCGAATATGAAACGATTTTTCAGAAGCGTTTGAAACTTGATCTCATTGCATTCCTTGATCCATATGCTTGCAATTTTGAAATTCTTATCTGACGAGTCTTTGGATTGAATAGGCATGTTTTATCCGCAAAGCGATTGTATCGAAGGCGAGAATTTGGGAAGAGGAAATTGTGAAAGGTATTGATTTGTCAGATGGAATGTGCAAGGAGTGGGTGAATTTGGTTGAGGATAGCAAGAAATATGCAGAAGAAAATGGTTGCTTTTTGATTCAGCAAATGCCAAGCTTAGGATGGGCAGTTAAGAATGTTCTGCTGAGTACAAATGAGCAAATACGATACAGTTTTGTTAATGACTGAATGATTATCCATACAGTGGGGTTTCAAGCCATACCAATTACAAAATCAACCATTTTTTTTAGGCCCATACAAGGGTACTTTAGGGATGCATTTAGGATTTGCTAGTTCTAATTTTATTTTATTATAGTAATTTGTTCACACAATTTTACAAGTAAATAAAGTTATGGAACAAATATTAATTTTATTGATACTTGAGTTATTATGATCTTTGGGTTGTTTTCTTAAGATGTAGGGTAATCAAAGATAATTGTGTTTGATTGTATACATGTTCGTGCTTAAAACATTTGAAAATGTATTTTATATATGTTTATTTTGTGTGATTATTCTAGAAATATGAATTTTATGTCGTTAAAACATTGATTAATAACAGACCATAGAAAATAAATAATATAAATTAAATTATTTTACGTTATTAATAATTATATGAGAAACAAGAAGTCCAATCATGGTCAATTTATATATGCATAATTTAATATCAAATTTTAACAAAAATTAAAATCGTAATATTATCGAAATAAATTTTTAATTGACATAAATTATACTGACTCTAAGAATACGAAAAATAAAACTTATGCAAACTCTTATATTAATAAAGAAAATGTAAATTTACATGTTATAAAAGTAATTGAACGGCAACATGATATAAGTAAACCCGCATTTTCATTACCTATACTTCTTGCCACTTTGAGATGCCTACAACATGCAAAGTAGAAGACGAGAGAATTCAAAAGAAACAAAAGATCATTATGTCTTCAACTATTCAAAGAAAATAAAGATGAACTCGCGTATAAGTAAGGTATTTTTAGTTTTACAATTTGTATGTTTGCATTTATTTTGTATTTATGTAATTTTGTTATTTTACTTTTGTACTTTGTTTATGCAAGGATATGCACAACAGTGTATTTCTGATTGCAGCTCGAACTCGGCCTCCGGACCGATCTGAATACTTGGGCGGACCTGCACAAAAAGGTGAGCACTCCGACGATCAAGTCAGTATAGGTCGGATTCCCAGTTTAGTTCAAGGTCAGAAATCATCGTACCTGATCGTGGAGTGAGGTCCTCTACTTATGGGTGGTAGTCCCGCTAATCTCGCGACGGTTACACTCGGTAATCTCGGGACCGTCAGTTACACC